TCAAACTATACAAATGAAATTCTTCAATCTGCTCTTAAACCATTTATAGTGGCCCAAAGAAATAAAACATGGTTATTTACTGACAGCTTTTTTCCTTTTCTTTTTATCAAATGTGTATTTGATTTATAAAGAACATAAGAATTACTAAAACCCACGTAGCAAGGAAGGGAATTCCTACTTTAAAAGGAAGAAGCCAGATTTGTATTTTTACGTTAAAGAAGTAAAGTTTTGGTTTTGTTCTGTGTTCTATAATTGAATTAGACCTTGCCTTGACTTTCTGGTATTAGGTCTTTCTAGTCCTTTCTGTGAATCTCAACCCCAAAGCTTGAGGACAGTGTTCTTAGAGAGATAAAAGAGACTGCTCGTGCCCAGAGAACCTATACTAAGACTAGTATCTTACACCTATCTTAATTACTTCTCTCTAATCTATAACCAGTGGGTCATAAAGGCTCTTAGGTAGAGCAGGTCCTCTGATAACATCACTTCATTCAATGTTATTTCATTAATAACGTTGATAAAGAAAAAAAATCAATTCCTGGCCAGAGCCACTGTCTGTGTGGTTTGCAAGTTCTCCCTATGTCTGCGTGGGTTTCCTCCAAGGACTCCAGTGTCCTCTCACAACCCAAAGATGTGCACAGGGGGTGAACAGGCATGTCTACATTGTCCCAGTCTGAGTAAGTATGAGTGTGTGTATGTAGCCCTGCAATGGAAAGGGTCCTACCTTCTGTCCTGAGCTGCCAAGACAGGCTCCAGCCACCCCTGACTCAACTAGAATAAGTAGGTTGGAAAAGAATTGTCTCTCTTGTTCCTATTAATCTTTCTTAAATGTATGTATAGCTCACATCTATTTAATATTTAATATTAGAAGTGTTTGGGGTCTTTGTTTAGAAGTTTGGTGGTGTTTTTGTGACCAGAAATATGCCATAGGAACTTAACTCTTGTTTATAACAATTAGCCTCTAGTAAAACTAGTTTCATTGTACATCATTTTGCTTCAAGTCCCAGTTTCCAATAATCTATTGATGACGTTAAGTGAGGACTTCCTGTACTTATTTTTACTGAACTGTATCTTGTGGAGCATAGTGATTTAGAGCAACGGCTTGTAAGTCTAACCACCCATGATAGAATCTTAACTCCATCCACCTCCTATGTGTGACCTCGGCATGTTATATATTCTTTTCTGAGCCACATTTTCTTCAGCTGAAAATAAATATAACAATAGTACCTACCACTTAGGATAACAATATATTGTGATGATTAAATGAGAAATCAGTATAAAATATTTAGCCCTGAGAAAAAGAAAAGGAGCCTGTGAGAGCCTAAAATTGGCCTGGCTCTATCAACTGGGCCTAGCTGTTGTTAGGAGTTGCCAATGGCACTCAGAGTCAGGCCACATTCTTATATTGAATACAAACCATTTCACAGCACACCAACATCAGACAAGGCCACTCTGACCATGAAAGATAAAGACAAGAAACAGGACCACTCTGTAATCATGTCTGAACTCAGACAAAAATCGGGAAGAGTGTCCAAACCACAAAATGACCACTTACCTTTCTAACCTGGCTAATCTGAATGACTGCTTCTTTACCAATTAATACCAATTAGCGTCCCTTCTTCCCTATATCTTCTATGTAAAACTAGTTGAGACACCGAATCATAGAATTTGTCAAGTGCTCAGATGAACTGAAGAGAAAGCTGGGCTACCAGATGTCAGATAAGGCAATTAAAGCAACAAAGAGCCGAAATGGAAGCACCAGTGAAGCCTCTAATCGCTTACTGAGACTGCATAGGCAAGAGGCTAACTAAACCTGGTGAGAACACCTACTCCCCCTGTTCCGTTACCCTCATGGAATGATGCACTGCTTGAGGGTTGGGTGGACTGGCACAAAGGTGGAAGTCTGGAGATCTCTCACAGCTGAAGGAGCCTTAAACAAAAGACTCCTGTAGGTTAACAAAACGGGGGTGGGCAGGCGCTGAGAGTGAAAAAATACTGGGTACTGAGTCAGAGTGGCTAAGTTTCCAGATAAAAAGACCTCCAAATGGAAACACCTGGGCTAGGAATGCAGCTATGCATAAGAACATGGCTGGTCAGGGGGCCTGAGTCCTTGGCTGCAACTCCCTTCAGAAACTACCATGCATTGGCTAAGTGCACTAAGTCTGGTGTGGGGAGGGCAGTTTTCCCCTGTGAAGCCTGCCAGGTAAAGCCTTTGTAATTGCTTTTGGTCAAGCCTGAAAAAAACCACACATAGGTCTTAAACCAGGAGACTTACTCCTCAGAATTATCCCCCTTTCCTGACGGCGAAGCTCTACTGTCCCCAAATCATCTAAAAGCCCAAATCTTATAGTAAATAACTTAATTCTAACATCCTCTCATTGAGACATCTCCAAGTTGCAGTAATTATGTGACTAGAGGAGTGTTCTGGTGGTCAGAGGATGCTCCATAAATGTTAACTATATACAACTACAATTCTCACAACACCTGTGTAGCACCGCCTCCTACTTTCTGTGCATCAACCACGCTGAAGTTTTTCCAATTTTTCCAACATGACCTACTTCCTGCAGCAATAAACAAACAAACTCTTTCTTCTACCTGCTAAGACTCAATATACAAATGGACAATGGCCTGACTATAAATATTAAAATAAGACTCTGACCCATAATCTGCAGCAACCATCCCCAAAAATCAATCTATTATTCTATAGTGACCGGCCTGGGAAGCCAGCTGACTATAAGTCAAACTTGTAGGAAGTCAAATTGCTATTTCTAGCAACAATGTAAAAAGCCAAACAAGAACCCCAGTATAATTCTCTCAAAATAGCCAGAACTTGATTAATAATTGACACATTTCCTAATTTTTCCCCTGCTTCCAATTTAGGACCAAAGAAGATCAAAATATGCACCTCTGACAAATTTCATAGGACGTCCCATTTCTAAGTAGAATAGAGTTTGCCATATTAATTATTTTGAGTTAAAGGCACTTGAAAAACAGAAGATGCAAGAAGGGCGCTCTATTCTTCCTTTCTTCCCGAAAGCTGGAGATAAAACTTTGTGAAAGGTGCATCTCCCTATACCTGGAAAGAAGACATTCTTACCACCAGATATGTGGAATCAAAGCCAAGATAAATCTATATAAACAAACATTATGAAACTAACCCTTATCTTCCTACCTACTTTTCCACAATTAACTGCCCTAACCCAAATCCCTTTGTCTTGTTACATTTTCACAATTTACTATTCTTCATCCCACCTAGTATATAAGTTTTGGGCCTTAACTCCTTTAGGTCTTGATTTTTCTTATGAACCCACCATGTACATGTAAAAATTACTAAATAAAATGTATATGCTTTTCTCCCGTTAATCCATCTTATGTCACTTTAATTCTTAGGCCCAGCCAGAGACCCTAAGAGGGTGGAGAAGTAATTTTACTTCTATAGCAGTTCTCCTACAGCATCCCCATGCAAAGAGCCTCTAACAAGGGCATACCTGAAGCCTTCCCTTTTTTTTTTCAATATAAAGCTTTCCTATTCCTCTTCCTGCCTTTGAGTCTTTGCCAAAATGCAAGTAGCATTGGCTGATTCCTTTCTTATAGCAAGCTCTGAATAAATAGCATTGCTCGTTTTCATTCTTGGGTCTTCATTTATTTCTATACTGAAAAGCTCCTCTCCATCCCAACTCCCTTAATAGCACTTATCACAGTTAACACTAAAAATAGATTTGTATCACTGTTTGTTTAACATCTCTCTGTCCACCAAGCTGTAAGCACCATGAGAGAAGTTGCTCACCATTGTAATTCCCAATGCCTACCACAGTGCCTGACACATAATAGAAAACTGATAAATATTAACTGGATAGTTTAATTAATTAGAGTTTAATAGCACAAAGAGGCAAGTGAAATTTTATATTGTGGCCAAAGAAAAGGAATTGAAAAAAAGTAAGATAAGACAGAAGAAATTCTAGGGCAATAGATCTTAAAAAACAGGGAGGGAAAGAATAAAATGAATGGACTAAGCTGAGTTTCTCTCTTAGAATGGTTCTTAAAATGTCAGTTTTAGAGCCCCATAACCAATCAACAGAATCAGACCTCTCTGGAAGAGAGAGTTATAGGACTCAGAGTCTGATTTTAAATAATTTCTTCCAGATAATTCTTATACACACTAACATCTGAGAATAACTGAGCTGATTAAAGGGCATATAAAACCGAGGGACAAATTTTGCATTCAGCTCTGCAAGGATGACTTAAGAAATGTCATCATCAATAAACAGCTGATTGTTCTGTTCTCACAATCCTCATGTAACTCCTATAACCAATCACCAATGTAAGAAATATTGAAATACAAAAATCTTTCCATTGTAAACTGAGAAGTAACTAGAAATCTTTGAAAACGGGGCATGAGAAGTAGCTCAGAATCTTAGGAATGGTTCTTTCCAAGGAGAAGTTAATGAAATAGTTATCATTGTTTTAGAAGTTCAACTTTCCAAAAATTAAGCTTTTTTTTTTCAAAATAACTTCATCAACTAAATGTAGCTACTTTTCATGTCTTACTAAAACTATCAAAAATACTAGTGCAATTTCCAATGCATAACCATATTAAAATGTTCCAAAACTCGTTAGTAATTTTTAAGTCAGCTTAGTTTTGAAGTAGCAGAAAGCAACTCTTATAAATTTTTTATTTACTTTCTTCTCTCCTGAAAAAATTCATGTCTGTGTATTTAAAAATTTTAGAACTATTTCAGAAACATTCGTGGTCTTTATTACTTCTTCCTTTGGAAAATAATTTATTTCCCAGAATAACCTTTGTTCATTCTGCTATTCCTCTCCTTTCTTCATTCATGTGTAGTTCTGCCATATATTTATACAGAGTCCAGTGGTAAGCATTGTTCCATTGGTTGTTGGTAATTACCAGTTCTTTTTTTACAGAAAAATGAGGGTAAATTGCTAATAAGTTAGTTTCCCCCAAGAAAAGTAAAAGAAAATCCAGAAATAAAGTTACTACTTACTTTTTAAAATTTGTTATTATCAAAACGTTTAAGGATGGGAGAATTTCTCCATACTCCTCTCTTTAAGTCTGTTCCTTCCAAAATCAGTAACATTTTTCAACCAAATAACTTCTATTTTGATCGTAGCGAGGCAGTCTTTCAAAGTTTAGTCACCATTCAAACACACTAATTCTTAAGTTCTTGTCCTCATTTTATCTTCAATCGAGTAAGTTGCATTCTGATTTCTAAATCAATTGCTAGAGGCAGTGCTTAAAAAAAAAAAGCCGTAATAAACATAAACGTAAGAAATATGACAACTGTATTCACTCAGAGCTTGTTTATAAAGATTTAGATACAATACTTTGTTTCTTGCAATTTTTGACCCAGAAAAAGTTACTTAAACCATTTCTGCCTTGTTTGCTCATCTGTAAATGGAGATAATAGTACTCACCCTAAGATTAACAATGGCGACTTCTGGGTGTTGCCATTAGCTTAATCCTTTGCACTACTTACATTTAAGGAAAGAGAGCTTTCTGATAAAAAAAAAGAAAAGCGATGACTACTCTAAGAGTAATTTGTTTCAGATAAATATAGTGATCTTTAAAGTAGCCAAGCACCAGATTTTCCTCTGGAAAATTAATTTTTCATTCATTTGGCGTCAGATAAATCTGGGGAATTGGTTCTTTCCTTTGGGACAATGTCACAATTGTAATACTTAACCCCTCTTTCGGTCGATTTCCTCCCTTACAAAACTGGGATAACACCACCTACTTCAAAAAGTTGTAAAAGTTAAATGAGGAACTATATGTGACCTGTCCGCCAGGGGTCTAAAAATTTAGAGGTCAATAAATGATCATTACAGTAATATTGCTCATTTATTTTAAAAAACATTAAAGAATCCCTCACCACTAGGATTTCTTAAAGGTGAATAACCCTCAATTATTACCCTACTTTTAGAAGCGAGAACGGAGGGTGGAAGAGAGAACAGGCACAAACACTTCAAAACCATCTCTGCAAGGAACTAATGTCGCAGTCTTCATTATACCACCGGAGCTTTAATCTTGGACATTCAGCAAGGTCGCTCATGCGCAATCACGCCCTGTAAACCCTGCCGCTTGTTCAACTCAGCGCCAAAGGTGCCTACTTGTGCGCCTGCGCCGTGACCTAGACGTGGGACTGCCTGAACTGGAAACCATGGCGTGGGTACCAGCGGAGTCCGCAGTGGAGGAGTTGATGCCTCGGCTGTTGCCAGTGGAGCCATGCGATTTGGCAGAGGGTTTCGATCCCTCCGTACCTCCGAGGACGCCTCAGGAATACTTGAGGCGGGTCCAGTGAGTGATTTGGCCTATGCGGGTGGGCTGGTCGTCTTTCCTGCCCCTGGGCACAGCATACGGTGCCTCGTTCGATCCCCAGGTGTGATAAAGCCCCTCCTCCGTCCCGGTCCCCAATCTCACGCGAGTTCGGGTCGGATCAAGATCACTCGATTACATCTTTACGTGGGAAGAGTTCCTATGAACTTAATTATATTAAATTTGATTGCCCATGGCAAGATGTGTGCTCTTAGATTTCCTTGCTTTTAATACAGATAATTTCAAAAACATATTTATCAGGACCTCAGTTGCAATTCTGAACTTTGTTTCTGATTTCATAATGAAATAGCTCGTTTTACTACGCATGAACAAAGCACAATAGTCTTCACATTTCTTGCATTTATTACTTATTTGTAGGATCGAAGCAGCTCAATGTCCAGATGTTGTGGTAGCGCAAATTGACCCAAAGAAGTTGAAAAGGAAGCAAAGTGTGAATGTTTCCGTGAGTTTTATTACCCGTCAGGGGACTTTTTTTACCCCCATAAATTAAAAGACCAAGGCTGTTCCTATAGTATCCAGCAGTATCAATTTTGATGTAGGTAAGATTTGACTGCCCCCTACGAAATTAGACATTTGCTTTTTCTCCCAAAAGAACAATTGGCATTTACCGCCCCCTAAGAGGCTTTCACTAACCCTGGCACTCATGGAGATTTGCTCTTCATATTTTAGGGACATGATCCAATCCTAAAGAATTTTTTAAGTAGGCCACTTATACTGTTCTTTATTTTGAAGTAACCTTTTTCTAGTTGTCTTAATTATCATTGGATTGTTTAATCTTACTGTAATTTGTATTAGTGCAGTTCTGCTTTTTACTGGGTTTTTTTAAGACTTATAAACTCAAATATCTTACACTTTTCTAGCAACTTGCACACTTTGAACAATTTCATTCATTTATCCAGCACATTTTTTACTAAGCAGCTCGGTTTTGCCAACACTGGAAAGACAACAAGAGGGTAGTCCTTACCCTTGTAGAGTTTACATTCTTCTGAGGAAGACAGAGGGTAAACAAGCAAATTAAATGATTACATATTATGACAATTGCTATGAAGAAAATTAACAATGACAAATAACACGGAGAACTACTTTATTTTTTTCAGAGAGCTACTTTAGTCACAGAAGGTCTCTCTGAGGAGGTTTATTTAATCTAAGGTCATGAGAGAGCAATTTTAAATTGTGATAAGTCCTTTTCTTTTTATGTTCTAAGTAATTTCTTTATCTGATATTTATAATTAGGAAATTTTAATGCAGTTATTCTAATGTTTCATATAATTTCTTTTCAGAAGTTTTTAGTTGATGGAAGATGATGTGTTATATACCTGGCTTTAAAAAGTGACCTAACAAAGTTTTATTTCAGGGCAATATGTGATTACTTGTAAACTATGTGCTGTTTTAGGAAACAGATACAGACCTTTTAAAGTCAAATGTCAAATTATTTGAGGACATTCTACTTCACCAAAATTCTTTATTTGGGATATATCTTTTTGTTTCAAACTGTTTTGCTTTATGGAAAGATAGTACTAGATTATTTCTTTAGGGCTCATATCATTTAGATCTCTTAGAAACTGCAACTATAAACCATTCCATATTGTTCTTATTAAAGTGATTATATAAGGATCTTTTCCTAACATTTTAAACTCAGAAATAAATAGTAAAATGAAATGCCTTCTTTTCTGCATCAGCAAAAAGTACTTTATTTTTCTTGTATAGTCTTACTCATTTACTTTATTATTCAGTGTTCATGTTGATTTTACTTCTACTTTGCAGAGGCATGAGATTCTAGTTATAACACTAACATTGATTCTAACAATTATGAACTGATCTTAGCTTTCAGGGTGCCAACCTGCTCCTGAAGGGTATTCTCCCACACTTCAGTGGCAACAGCAGCAAGTGGCACAGTTTTCAGTTGTTCGACAGGTAAATATACTTTAATCATTTAATCAAATTAATTTTCTTCCCTCTCTCAAATTTATCTCTGTTCTTAAACAGTAGTTGGAAAAATAACATTCATGATTCTGAAGAATAAAGAAAAGAATATGTATGAATTAATTACAAAATTATTATAATCATTAGACACAATACAGTTTGAAACATATTTTCCCAGTTTTAGGATTGTTAGAATGTTATGCAGCAGTTGATTTCTTGGTTCAAGTATCCATTCTCTGAAGATCGATGTCTAACTCTTCTTCCTTTAGAGTGTCAACAGACATAGAAGTCACTGGAAATCACAACAGTTGGATAGTAACGTGACCATGGTATGTAAGTTTCTTTGTTTAAGTAGTACAGTGTATACCTATTTAAAATAGTCCATATCTATTTCCAGTCTTTAAAGATTCACTTACTTAGTCCATATTATTTTCATTGTCTCCCATCTACCATTAAAAGTAACAATTTTGGTATATTAGTGGGCTGAAAAGTATAGAATCAGTAATACAAGTTTTTATTTTTGTGACAGTTTTAATCCACAGCATCTTAAGAGACTTTGGATAGGTAATTGTCAGGCCTCTATAAGTTTTTAAGGGGTCTTCTAGACATTTCCTTTTTAAGAAATAAATGCATTTTCAGTATTTACAAAAAGATCGAATAAAAGCTTTTTGGATTTTCTTGATCAGAGAATGGTGCCAATACCAGTGACATTTTAGTGAAGCCTGTCATGCATACTGGAAAGTAGTATTTCCTACATTTTATCAGCTTAGATATAATATTAAGCTGTTCAGTAGCTGTATCTGGACTATTGAATAAAAAGGGAGCTGGGGAAGCAATGGATACATTGTTCCAGGGCAATACTTTTTTTCTTTGATAGATTTTTAATTTTTCCTTTTTTACATTTCCCTCTTTTTTAAAATTTATTTTTTAATTATAGTTGATATACAATATGTGATTAGTTTCAGGTGTGCTCCAGGGCAATACTTTTAACCTTTTAGGGAGTGTCATATTCTTACGAGAATTAAATAAAAGCTATTTATTATCTTCAGAGAGAAAAAAATAAATGCACTTATGCACACAATTTTTCTGACAAGTTCAGGTAGGTAGTGCATAGATTTCAGATTTTAGAAGCTGCTTCTGGGCAGTGCTTCCTAACATCTTTTACATGGTGGTACATTGAAGTAGATGGAGGAGGCTGCTTGCATAGTCTTCCTGAGATTCCCAGCTAAGAGATTCAATATAAGCCTCTCTGTATGCTTTCCATACCAGTTGGAAGCTCTGCTGTAGGTAAAGCATGAAAGGAACTGATACCACTTGCCCAAGACCATTTAACTCATAAGAGGTATAGCTGGAAGCCACTGACGTTTGTCTGACTAAAGCCTTTCATGATGCCATGTGGCCTCACAGAAGGGAGATATATTATTATTTTCTTGCTGGTGTGAGGACTTTGGGTATATGCTTATCAATTCAAAAAGAAGCCACATTAGTAACACAATGATGATATAATTTTGTCAAAAATGAAAGTGACCTAACATAATTGAATAAATTATGATCCATCAAAACAGGAATATTATGTAACAATAACATGGGATCATCACAGCAAATGTAAATGAAAATAAAATGAAAAAATTTAAAAGCACACTGATGTCAACTATGTAAATATAAACATTTATTGATTTGTCCAATTATTTATTAAGCACCTACCATATTTAATAATCAGGATATTCAGTGCTACCTGAAGCAGAAATAGGCTCTGACCTAATGGAGTAATGGGAAAAGGTGGATACATTGTTCCTAGACAATAGATTTTAACCTTTTAAGAGTCTCATGTATCCTGAGAATCTAACGGAAGCTATTTCTCCTCCCAGGGGGGAAAAAACTATACCTTTGCAAAGTAATGTGCAAGACAATGTGTATAAATAAAAATTGTTTTGTTAAGGTAGTTATATTGAGCTAACTGCTTCCCCCCACTAGTCCTGCTTTTTCCACCTGGTGATGTAAAATAAATCTGTTCTTTGGCTGGACAGCCCATTAAATTTGTGAAGTATGTAATCATGTCTCCTTCTCTGGAATAAATATCCTTCATTCTTGTAAGCATTCTTACTGTTTTTTTTCCCATACCAATTTCCATCTTTATCATCCTCTTTTAAACACACCCTTGCTTGCCAGTGTCCATTAAAGTGTGATCCAAACTAAATATGTCTCACATATGGTGTGACCACTCGGGTACTATATTAGTTCGCTAGGGCTGCCACAGCAAAATACCACAAACTGGGCAGCTTAACCAGTAGTAATCTATTTTCTCATAGTTCTTTAGGCTGGCAGTCTAAGATCAAGGTGCAGTAAGTTTGGTTTCTCTTGAGGCCTCTCTCTTTGGCTTGCAAATGTCCACCTTCTCACTGTGTCCTCACATAGTCTTTCCTCTGTGCATGCCCATCCCTAGTGTCTCTTTATGTGTTCAAATTTCCTCTTCTTACAAGGACACCAGTCAGGTTGGATTTAGTCCCACTCCACAGCCTCATTTTATCTAAATCACCTCTGTTAAGGCCCTATCTCCAAGTACGGTCATATCCTGAGCTCCTGGGGGTTAGGGCTTCAATTATGAATTTTGGGAGGATATAATTCCGTCCATAACAGGCATCATATCTTTGTATTGAGGTAGTGGTAATAGAGAGGAGTCCTCATTTTGCATGGTTCAGTATTTAAAAAATACACAGAAATAAGTAAATTCATTTTTTTTTCTTTTAGCCAAAATCTGAAGATGAAGAAGGCTGGAAAAAATTTTGTTTGGGTGAAAGGTTATGTGCTGAAGGGGCTGTTGGACCAGCTAAGAATGAAAGTCCTGGAATTGATTATATACAAGTAGGTGATAAATGGATAAACAAAACAAAAAGTATTCTAATTTTGATGCATCATGTAGTATAAAGGGTCAGCAAACTATGGCCTAGGCCATATCCAGCCCACAGCCTTTTTTTGTACAGCTTATTAGCTAAGAATGGTTTTTATATTTTTAAAGCATTGTAAAGAACAAACTAATATGTGACTAATCTGCGTGTCCTGCAGAGCCTAAAATATTTAGTTCGGCTGTTTACAGAAAATGTTTGCAAATTCGATTTAGTTTATTAGCTCTTTAGCTTAAAAATTGGCAGCCCAGTTTCTAAAACAATGTACTATGACTTTTTTTAGGTTGGCTTCATATCTCGTGTTTTAGCTGTGCAGGAATTTTGAGAGTTAGATGAGATTTTGTTTCTTTAAATGATTAAGCATGGGTTGAACATTGAGTGATGAATAGTCAGAAAAACAGGAAAACGTGACACAATTGGAGAGGTACTTAAAAATGCTTAGTAAATTGCGTGTTCTGGAGATGAAATGTTGAAGTTATATTTAAAATTCACATGGCTTTATTCTAACTGTAAATGATAGGGACAACTCCTTGCCCTTCAGGATTCACCTGCCCTCAAGTTTGTAGATGTTTTTATGGAACCCTCTGCAAACATCTGCATTACTACCAACTCCTTATATTGTTCTGTTCTGTCGAATTGGTATTTACTGTTTGCTATGTGGTACCACATTGTGTTTTTCCTATTTAAAACCAGTTTTTCCCCAAAAGGTAAAAGCTCCAAAAATCACTAAAAAGACCAAGAATCCAATTAAAAAAAAGAGTCAAAGAGTATAGACATCTTAGGGGGAAGGTGAAATGGATAAAGGGGATCAAATATATGATAGCTGAAGGAAACTGGACTTTGGGTGGTAAACACAATACTATATACAGATGTCAAATTATAATGTACACCTGAAAATTATATAATTATATTAACCAATGTTATCCCAATAAACTTAATTTAAAAATTAATTAATTAAAATAAAAAGAGTATAGACGTCTCACAGATAGGAAATACAAATCATTATTATATAAGAAGATGCACTTGCAGTAATGCAACTTATAACTATGCTGGCTGCTATTTTTCAGGTAATATATTGGCAAAGAAAGCCTGATATACTGTGTTGATAAGGACTGGGAAAACAGGCACTCCTCCACATGTGGTGGGCGTGAAAGTAGATTCAACTCTAGGGGAGCTAATTTGGCACTGTTTCTCATACAACCTGTTGTTTTGGATAATCTTTATGTTACATTTCAAAAATGTGTTTTAATTTAATAAAGAATTAAAATGTATTATCTTGTTATTACAAAATATGTACAAGTACCATATATCATGTGAAAGAACCATTTAAAGATGCAACAGTTTAATGCAAATTCTCTTAAGTTTCTCAAAAGTTAATGCTGTTTTCATAATCAAGGCTCTTGGCTTTAAACTCTAAAGTAGATTTTTTTAAATTAAATTAGGTTGGGCTTGAAAAAAATCCTATTCGAGTAACCTTATTCCTGAAAAAGTTGGCTTTATTTTAAAAATATCACACATTAATGTCATAGTACCAATAGTATCATTTTAAAATTTTTTATACTTTAACATTTTAATTACTAAAATTATTCTTTATTTTTAAATTTACACATTCAAAGTTCAAGATATCATTTTCTTGGACATTACCAATGTAATAGTTCACAAAATATTTTATGGTAATGGCAGCAAAGGAATTTTGTTTCATTTTCATTTATTCTTTGTTTCTAAATAACTGTAATGTGAAATTCACCAGTTTGGAAAAAAATAAAGGCCCTTATAATACCATTTTGTACATTTCAATCTCTTTTTTTTTTTTTCCAGATTGGTTTTCCTCCTTTGCTTAGTATTGTTAGCAGAATGAATCAGGTAAAATCCATCTAATAATAAGTATATATGCATTCTTTTGTTTGTGATGTGTGTGAAAGTATTTGAATATGTTTACTAAATTTTTTTACTAGGCAAGACCCTGCCCTAAACTTTTTATCAGTTCTTATTTAATTCTTACTACAGCCCTATATAGGGAGTTATTATTAATATCCTTTTTTTTGAGACAAAGAAACAAAGAGGTTAAGAACATGTAGGTAGTTTTTCAACAAGTGTTAATGGCAACACTGGGATTCTAATTCGAGAACTGATGCTCTTAATCATGGCGCTAAACCATTCAAATGTATATATATCGGTAATATGTCTTAGATTCTGGGGTTTAAAGTAAATACTAAAGTTAGATTGCTATTTCTAGTTCCAAGTATCCTACATATTCCATTAAGAATGAACTACATTTGACCCTTGAACAACATGGGAATTAAGGACACTGACCCCCCGTGCAGTCAGAAATCTATTGTAACATTTGACTCCCTGAAAACTTTACTACATAAATTTCTTAGATAAAAGGAAAGAAATACAGACTTTGGTTCTTCAGTCTTTTAGGACAAGGAACTCTTTCTACTTAAAGAAAATAAAAACTTTGACGGTTTTGTCTTCACATAGCATTGGATACCCTTGGAAAATACTCTTTTTTAAGAGTCATACTCTTGTAAATCATATACTGGCTGACAGTTTCTCTTACTCGATCATTTGCATTAAGATACCGTAGTAATTATTCTGAATTCAATAAGAGTTTTTTCAAGTGTACAACTATATTTGAAAAAGCCAGAGAACAGTTTTAACATTGATAAATTCTATCTGTAGTTTTAAAACAGATCTTTCTCTAGCTAACTTTCTCTTTAGATTATACTTTGTTTTAATGAAAATAATCTGAAGGAATTTATG